TGTTTTTTAACTGGTGGACTATATGGAAGGTGTTGCATGATTACATTTGCATGCAAATGTACACTTCTGTGTGTGTGCGTACATATGTATATGGGCAAGTAAAGGTAGAAGTATGCAGGCAGCGAGAGTATGAAAATTAAAGCGGTTGAGGTAGCGACAAAATGTCACCAGTTACTTGACATTTCAAGTAGAGTTACCTGTACTCATACATTTTATGTATGTGTGTGTAAATGAAAAAATGAAACGAAAAGCAACAAAAACTGTGCTAAAATTGGCTGCAAAGTGCAGTACTACATACCTACACTTGCACTTGCACTTACAAATGCACATGCTTCTACTTAAGTATGTAAACCAGACTGCCACAACGCGGCTTCAGCACTTATGTCCGCTCAAATCAAGCGTTGTTACGCTTTTCTCATTTTCAGCCATATATGCACATGGTTCCATTTATGTATGTGTGTGTGTGTGTATTCGTTTTACTAATTTACATTTTATGTCATGTCATGAGCGTAATTGAAATTTCCTACAACTAAAAAGGCAACAATGAGGGAATACGAAGTGGTCTCGTCAGCGAGCGTAAATGCGGTGTCCTGCCTGGTAGACTGTTGGCATGTTGACTCAGCATACACTTGCATGTGCATACATTTACACACACACATACATATTTACGTATGCATTCAACTCATGCACGTACATACATACATTTATACATTCAACTGCACTTTCTTGCACTTTCCACCTTTCACCTTCCTCTCTACACCTACTCTGCCCACCCAGCCAGACTCTTGTACTGCTCTGCGGCTAATTACAAACAGCGAAAACAATTCATTTTCATGTCCTTTTTGCCATTTTGCTGCGCTGCCGTCGCTGTGCTTTGCCTTCATTGCATTCTATTTTTTGCGAAGTTTTTTTTCTTTTTTTCTTTTTTCTAACTTTTATATTCTATTTCTGTTGCAATTGCGTCATTACTGTTTAGCTTCCCTACGTCTTGCGCTACTGGCAAATGTATATATCTCAGGGTGGTCCTTAAAATTTTAAGGTCATGGTGTACCCATTTATTGCTCTACGTACAGTAAATTAAATACATCGACGAAAATTAAAAACTAGATTTTAGGGGTCGCTACCAGAGTTTGAAGAAGTGTATTTCTTTTAATTTCGAAATTTCGAAAAGAAATTTGAATATGACCAGCTATAACTCAGCGGATCTGGTCTATGAATTTTTATGAACAAGTTTAAGTAAAATTTATCAGAAATCTAATCAAAATTTTGTCAAATTTTTGCGATTTAAAAAAATAAATTTTTTCAAAAACCTTTAATACTATATCCCCACTGGAGCTTAACCACATAGTTTTGGCTGTTGAGTTGGTTATCCCGATAACCCCCTTGATTTAATGTGGTTTCGCCATATAAAAATGATAGCACTTAATCATTTGATTGAGATGCTAAAAAAAATCAAAACCAGGTCGACAGTCTGATAAAACCCTGTGTTTCGCGTTAAAATTGAAAAAAAAAAATCGTTCCCTGCCCGTAATCGGACTCCACTCCGATCAAAGTGGATTTATCAGGTTTTTGAAAAAAATTGAAATCTACTCCTCTACTCCGCAATAAAGTAACTTCATTATTTGTTGATATATTCTACTTTACCGAAAATACTAAAAACTACCCAAATATGTAACATATTATTCTTATATTGCCTTGTGTTCTTATTTTTGCATGAATAGAAAATATTTAATATTTAATAATTGATGTCGAAAGCGAAAATAAAAAATTGAAATCTAGTATGGAACATTTTTTTTTTGCTCTGATTTTCGAAGCTATTTGCTCATGAATCGACTTTCAGAAGTCCGAACACTGTTCTCTACATTTGAAATCTATTATAAATCTCAAACCGCAGCGTGGGCAGCAATAGTTAGTGATGATTTCTACGAAAAATAGTTTTTTCGCCATATAAAATACACGGGAAAGTTTGAGCGCTTTGCGCTGCCTCTAAATCTATAATAACTGCCACCCTAATGTACATATGTATGTATGTACATAAATACGTATGTATTTTTAATTTTTTGCATGGCATGTAATAGGTTGAGTAAAATGTGAACGGAGTCAGAAACGGAAGTTGCAACTTTATTGTTATTACAAAGTGCTCGCGCGAGTGGTCGTTTATTTGAATTGTTTGTATGTATGCACATATGCATGTTTGTATACATAAGTGCGAGTCATGAGCTTAGAGAATAAAGAAAGAAGTTCTTGTGCCGTCGGGCGTATTAAAAAAAATGCTACAGTAAATATTTGAGCTTGTAGCCTCTATTTGTTTCTGGAAAGTTAATAAAAGCAACAAAGTCTGCTATTTTGGAGATCACCATATCTTCTCGCTCACAATAAAAGTTGTGCTTCACTGCGCCTTAAAAGCGTTTTTGTGTTACTGCATACCCGTATTGTAATATTTAATTTATTTTAAAAATTTTCAAACAGGTGGCAACCCTCCTCGAAACATTTTCGGCAGTAAACTTTACTAAGCCTATTCAGTTTGATAACCAGTTTGTCTTATCATTTAAATTGAGTTAAAATTTTCAAACAGGTGGAAACATAAAAAAAAATATTTTCGGCTTTGGCAGTCATATTGCAATAATTACTTTATCGGATCTATTAACTTAAACTGCAATTTTCAAAAAGGTGGCAACTCTTTCTTTCTATATTAAAATGCATCTATATCATTGATGCGCGTACAAACATACAGACAGGTATGTATGTTGATTTGGATTCTGTTACTCAAATAAAGTATTAATTTTTCTTGAATATCTACTATGTACAGACATTGGCCTGTTACAATTTTATTATATGTATGGATAATGTAGTTAATACAAGGGTTGCTGCTGAAGGGTCTAGATATGGGGCATCTAATATCAAGTGGACAGGAAAAAAGAGATGCTTTGGAATTTGTTCTTATTTTGGGTAATAGTGCTTATGCTGTGGCTGTGTTTGAAAGTTTGCACATAATATTTTATTTATGATAATTAATTGTCGAGTTATGAGCTTCTAAAAAATAAGTAGTTAAAATAAACAGTATTTTTTTTACTACTTTTTCGATCTGTAAGAAATTTCTAAATACGTTTAAACTGCGCAATTTGTTTCAGGGTTAATGAATGTAGTTGTTTTTTCCAATATTATTTTGGCTTATTAACAGTTTATTTTAACATGGTTATTGAGCTTTGTACCATGATTACCTTTTTGTTGGGAAGAATGGAAAAAGCAACAAAGCAAATATAAGGAAATGAGTTAGCAACATGACCAATAACCAATAACCAATAACCAATATTTAACATAAACGGAAAAAGTTTTGCTAGACTTCGGAAATGTTACAACTCTCGTATAAAATGCCTCGGTGTAATATTTCAATTAATTAATTTACAAACTTAACATTTAACCTTGCCTAAAATTGAAATTTTCTCGTTTGACACTCATTTAAAAATTTTTCATTTAAGTTGTAAATTAAATTGATTTTGGATTACTAAATAGGTGGCAAACCTGTTCAAATTTATTTTAGAATATTTTTTTTGCTTGTATGGTGGTACGGTCTAATGTATGTACATATGATATGTTTAATAAAAGCTTACTTTTCGCAAAAACTGATTTATGTCTTTAACTTGACACCCAATATGGCATGATATGATTTAATTAAACTAAAAATGTGAGTGATTTTTGCTTGTTTTTTTTTTACAAAAGTAATAAATTTGATTTAATTCGCATTGGAAATATTGTGTCTCGGTCGAAAGGAGCAGCTTTATTTTCATCATAATACTAGTAAATGGATTTTATGAAATGCCTTTTATTCAACAATTAATAAATTCTTAAATACTCTCGAGCAATTTTATTAAATTTTCACACACTTCGAATAAGAAAATGGAAGGCGGAAAATGAAAATAAAATTTTCTGACTAAAACTTAGGCGTACATGCAAATGCCACAATTCTTTTATTCGTAAATAAGTTAGGAAATAAAACTAGATAGAGCAATAAATATTTTTTGTATTTTGTATGCCAGCAGACAAAAGGCAAGTTCGTGCGGCAGCATTGCGGTCAGTTTACGAATATAGAAACGAGAGGGAATTCAGACAAAATGCACTTGTAACTTTTTGTAATATTCACATAAATCGTACGTAAACAACAAATAAAGTAGGTAATTTAAAAATTGTTGCTTAGTAACTTTTTTGACCACAAATTTGCAACAAGTTATATAAAATATTTTCAAATTCAAAAGTGGTCAACATTACAGAGACTATGAATTTATAAACGATTGACTTAGGAATTCTTTCACCTAAATTTTTGACAGCTTTATTTGCACGTTTAAAAATTTCAGAGTATTTCGTTTTGTGGCAAAAACTTAGACATTTTCGCACGTGTGGTTTGCGAATGTGTAGGCAAAATGGTTTTAGTATATTAGTATATCAATATATAAAAGTATTCCGCACACATGTTTGTATAGAAAAATAATTAAATTTAAAATTTCAATTATTTTTGCAGTGGCATTGAAAGAGCTTTAGTTGCGGCAATACTGCTAAATGAAAACTAACTTTCATGTGTACACATGCGATAAAGTGAAGTGTTAACGGTAAACAAAACTCAAACGAAATACTGTAGTGCATTTCAACAAGTGCAGAGACAGTCAAAAATTGCAAGCGACGACCATGAAAAGCTGCTTGAAAGTATGCAAAAAGCTTAAAAATACTACTACCAGCTTATACTTACTATATATGTATGAATTTTCGAGGCATGCAACACTTGACGGGCCGACAGTACAGTAGTACACGCGTGTAGTTGCGGCTTGGAGAGCAGTCGGTCGAAAACAAAAGCAGCTGCAGCAATTATAGCAACGGCAGCAAGTGAAAGCGGTAAAAGCAGCTGAAAAAAAAAAAAAAATAAATAAAACAAACAACAACAACAACAAGTGGAAAGCAAAGCAATCAAATAGCTGCACAATCGTATTTGTGCATTTAACAACTTTCACACAAAACGCATTCGTACAAACGCATAAACATATGTAGGTACACACTATCTCACGAAACTCATACAGTACGAATGAAAAATGAAGCTAACCGAGTTGCTGTCCTATTTTTGCCTGTTACTGTTCACAAGGACACAAGGTGAGTGCAAATATATAACAGATTTGTATCTAACTATTTTTAGATTGTTAGAAATAAAAATGCAATCCTTGGATAAAATTTTGTTTTAGACTTGGAGAATGCAGCATGAATTGCGGGAAAGTAGTACCGTTTGTGGTATTTGCAATTTCGTGCAGTGTGTAGTACACAGGCAATTGTATTTTCTCTTAACAGATTTTGTGCAATCATTTTCGGTGTTATACTGCTAAGTGAAGATTATCTATCTGAAAGCAGCTACTGGTTTTACAGAGGACTTGTGAAATTTGTGCAAAATAGGCGTCTATTACGGTTTTCGATTGCAAAGTGAATTTCTCGAATTGTAAAGTGCTAAAGTGCTAACGATATCAATTGCAGTCGAATTGCACGTTATGCTTGAAATCGATTTCAGAAAATTTGTGAAAACAAGAACACGGCCGATAGGCGTATGGCGTATATTCTTAACTGCAATTGTAGGTAATCATTTTCTCAAAAAATTAACCCAGCATAGCAAAATGCGACTCGACTAGATGCGTTTCGGATTGGTCCTAATATTGAAATTTTCCGTTAGTCGCAAAAACGTTCTGGTAAAATTTTCCAGAACCTCGCACTCACGTATTTCGGCCTTTTTTTTAAGGAATAGTTACATCTCGCTTACCTCATCAGCTTACTGTATCTTCTATTCTTCTTATTTATTGTAACCGCCTAAGCGATTTTGCCCGAGTTCAACAAAGTCTGCCATTCGTTTCTCTTCTGTGCCAGCTGACGCCTATTGGAAGAGAAGTCCTTCTCCATCGATGGGCCGCAAAGTTAGAGGAGTTATTATCTCGCCTAGTATTTCTCTTTCGTCGGAACGTAGCCTAAAACAAACGAGCTTTAATTCAGATTGTGGCGAGAAACTTGCTTAATCGACACAGAGTGTCTTGCCTTTACATTGCGGCAGCTGTAGTAGACGTCGCAAGGCTCCACGTATTTCTAGTCTTGCTGTGTTCAACATATTTTCTGGATGGACGTGATGATAGTCTTAGTCTTCTTGAAGACATCAGCCAGCCGAACGGGAGCTACTTTCCGATTAAGGGTCCAAACTTTCAAAGTGCATGTGCTAAAAACATAGTATTTTAAATTTGTTGTTATCATAAAATAGAGGGTTTTATCTCTATCTTCGGCTTTAACTGAAACGGGTTTTCGCGTGGCAAGCCCTGAAACCCAGCGGACAGCCCAACCGTAACCTGGGAAAGTTTTTTTATGTTCATACCTATTTAGGGCGCGGATCACCATTTTGGTATGTGTACACATAAGTATTTATGTCCCATCTGGACCAGCTAAGATAATCTTAAGTTTTGGATTTGTCACACTTTGCTAAGATTTTTTTTTTTGCTTTGCTGCAGACTGTCTGGATAAGTGTATTATTTCTATTTCGATAAGTTTGAGTACAAACATAAAATATCTGCTGTGAACTCATCTCGTTTTTCTAAATGCCCCATTGGGCCCAAAAAAATCTTGCAGTCATTGCCTGATTTGAAGTTTGTTGTCAATAGGGCCAGCGACAAAAATGTTGCTTTTCTATCTGACGCGAGGCTTTTGAAAAAAAATTTATTTAGCATCGCCGCCGTAGTTGGGAGTAAATTGGCAACTGCATCGGAATTGGTTTGGAGGGAAACAGGTCCTGCTTAAGACTGTTATTATTATTGTTATTGTTGGGGATACGACTTTAAGATCTATTGTGCCCCCTTCATGGATTATAGTGTGTCTGTTAATCCAGTAACCATGAGAAACTTTAGCATGGAACCTAAATCTACGGATTTCACTTCGCCTTTGGCGCCTTTTGCGTTTGTGCATCAGTGCAGGACATTCTTCTAAGATGTGAAGTGTTGTCTCGTTTTCCGCCCTGCAAAATCTGCATCGCTCATTCCTGTATTCCCAGTTTAGTCAGATGATAGTTGAGCCTGCAGTATCCTGTGGGGATTCCTGTAAAAATTCCTAAGTTATTCTTTGTTATGCTCATACATTCCTTGAAGCGTTTTAGGTTATCTGTTTCTTAAAGGTGCTTTGGACTGCTCTAGACCTGGTTGTATTATCCCAATAGAGTTTCCTAGGAGCCTCTTCCTCTAACCGAATAAGTTCAGAGAGTGCCCCTTTTTCCAGGCCACAGAAAGACTCTGGGCCGGTGAAAGGGGTTGATCGGCAATCTCGTTTACTTTAATACCAATATATCCTGGAATCCTGAGAAACCGAACCTGATATTGATATTAAAGTCCGCGCATCTTTCTATGGCGTATATGTTTTCCCATGGGTTCCCAGTATCTTAACCTCGGTCCGACAAACCCCGGTACACTCGTCGGTCAATGAGCCATCAGTGTACCAGGTTATCATGTTTTGGTTTATCCGATATGTCTCTGATATGCCTGCCAAGCTCTTCTAATTATTTGTCTGCAAACCAAACTTGACAAAGGATGACGGAAATTCGTTCCAAAATAAATCATCTTACCACCCTGTCGGAAATATCAACCAACACCAACACAGTTTTAAACCTCTTTGTAAAGCTGAACCTCGAATGCATGGTATCCCTTCTGCCCCGATATTGGAACCAGTCAACCGTAGTAAATCTCTTTTCATCTGAGTCTATATGTGAATATGAAGAGAAGTAAGTACTAAGAAAACCTCCAAGGATGCGGTTGGACAGGTTCTCATGGCTCCGGTTATGCATACGCATGCCAGACTTTGTATCTTGGAGAGCACTTTGATTGTTCCAAGTTGTGAAGTTCTATCGGTCCAAATTATGGCTCCATAAGCTATCATGGGTCGTACTATAGTCGTGTAGATCCATCTCAGTATCTTTGGCGTGAATGCCCAACTCTTTCCTCCCATGGACCTACACGTCATAAATAATCTTACATGCTTAAGATTAATAATATAATAAAAGTAAAGGTGAGTGCATAGGTGAAGAAAAGGATAAAGGCAAAGGTAAAATAAAAATAAAAACAAAAAACAGATGCGTAAAGGTAAAGACAAAAATGAAGATCAAGAGGAGAACGATAAAAGTAAAAATAAAGGAAAGAAGATTAAGATCAAGTAACTGTAAAGAAACCGTTATATATGTGAATATAGAAAGGCCCTGTCTAACATTTTTGTTCCTTTACCGAGTAGCTATACAACTTTACAACAATTCAAGCTCTTCAGATGTAACTTTTTTCATTTCACTGGTTTTTCATAAACATACAACCGAATCCTGAAAGTAGTGATCTACCGACTTGTGTATAGTGCTGAATTTCGTACCAAAACGAGTTGGGCCCCTTCTAGTAAAGATATAGAGATAAATATGGAAAAGGCATAGAGAGATAGGTGGAGATAGAAGCCATAGAGTTGTTTGATATACGATGTTATGGATTAAAGTATAACTCTAGGCATATAATATTATATTAAATAGCCTGTCGTTTTATTCATGAGGCAAACAAGATATAATTTTTAAATATTTAATTAAAAATATCCTGGCCTGGATTTTTTTCAGCCAATCCACTTGCGAAATATTTACAACACCGACTTCAAAAAAAGGCCTTAAAAAGTGTAAGCGGACATGTCTAGAATCTTATCGGCAAAATCATTGAATATTTTCATACAATTCGAAACTTAAACTTTCTGCCACCTTCAGACCACTGTGCGGCATACTAATTTATGAACAAAACTTTAAATTGCCAAAGATTTATCTAACAAACAAGGTCATAAATAAGCACTTTCGATTACTTGTAACTCGCCACAAAGACACATCTTAATTCAAACACTCCTTCTGCTGAATTCTCTACGACACGCTCATCACTTTAAATGCGTTAGCATATTTTTGTTATTTATTGGTACTTCACTTGTGGAACTTTAATTTCTTAAAAGTGCATTTATCTGCAAGAAATTTGCTTTACTTATAGTTCTCGCACTCTGGCCATTGCACGTGCACACAATGAGATAAACACATAAGTACACATGTACATACATATCCATGTACATATGTATGTATGTATATGCATACGCACCGGTAGCGATTTGCGCAATTTACTGTAGAGTCTAAGGCAGCCTTGCAGCTGATTTATTGTCCATAAAATTTATGGTAACTTTAATCCAAGCATTTTGCTTCTTGTATGTACTGTGCAACAGCATTTTTTCCACCCCCCATACACTACTACTAGCGGACAGACAACAGACGGGCAAATAGTTGTGCAAAGGATGATCAGTTGAAAATTTGGGTTGGCGTTGGTGATGGCGGCAAGGTGCGCGGCGGCGACAGCGGCGGTGAAAGCGAGGTGGGTGCAACTTAAGTAAGCATGCAATTTTAAATTCTCCACACTGATAGTGTCTGCTTATGTTCCTGCCTTGACTGTGCTTAACGTGAACAATAAATGGTAAAACTTAAATATCCTGGCGTCTAGCAGTGAGATCCAAGCTTCCTGCTCGCCGATTTCGTTATTATTGCTATACACAACTTATTTCGTTTGTTGTTGTTGTTTTTGGCCTGGGCGGCTATAGCAGCTCATCCAGCTCTCAACCTTAATGCTGCGGGTTTTTTCTTTACTTAACACTGCAGTTTTGCTGTTTCTGCCGTTGTTGTTAGTTATTTTAGCGCAGCATGCATTCCCAGTGAGTTTATTTAAACAAATACATGCGGACATGTGCACTTACATACACATACACACAAGCATTCAAAAAGTCTCGTGCAAATACAACGCTCTCTCATACATATATGTAAGTCACTTTATATGTATGCATACATATGCACATTCATCTGTACATACAAATTTATATGTAGGTATGCAGCAAAGTATTTTATACAGGGATCTATAGCTTAAATTCCGCTGAAAAATGGGGCAAAAAATGTATTTGGGTTACAAAAGTTTTGAAAAAAAAAAACACAAACGAAAATAAAATATGGAGTCGAAATGTCGTGCTAAGAAAGGTGGGGAATTAACAACAGCCACTCTCACTTACATACATTGTATGTGTGTATGTATGTAGTATATGGG